GTAATAGAACAACCCAGCCTAAGAGTAACCCATGCAAGTAAAGCAGAAGCTCTTGGGCTACTTACTGGTAGTGAGTAAAGCCCAACGTAGGCAAGTTGGCATACTTCTCAGCAAAATCGGCAAGCCGGCTGATCACCCTGGCGAGCTGATGAACATGGGAGAAGGTAGAGAAAAAGGTAGTGTAAACAAAGGAATTGCAGTGTAGAGAGAAGTTAAAAGGCACCTTGGAGTTCTTTTGGTACAAAAGCTGGCATGCTTGAGCATACTAAGGATGGAGGGAGAGAAAAAGCCTGTAATTCCTTATTTGATCCCTTACCTAAGTTTTGCTTTCTAAAACAAATGGCAACTACAAACAGATTACACTGATGGCCAACACAAACTGGCTCCTATATCCAGCAGGAGGGTGGTGGTTCAATCAAATAGCATTCCCTTTTCAAGGCAGTAGAGGTTGGAACAAAATACCCTCATACAACCCTTTTAGGGGCCTTAAGGAAGGCTGGTTTAGAAAAAGAAGATTCACTTTTTACTGAGTGCTCAGAAAATCCCAGAGACACCCTGTCTCTCCACCCAGAGGAAGATCATGGTTCATGTCATCTGCTCAAAAGCCATCAGTAGTGCCAACTCCCGGGAGGCTGTACACGTGATTTCTCTCTCACCTTGGGTAGCAGCAGATTGAAGCCATCACGCAGAACAATCAGGTCCTGAAAGGAGTAAGAAAATGACGTTCAGGTTTGACTTTCCTAGGCATCCGCTATCTCATTCCCCATTCTGCTTTGAAAGAAAAAGAGATTCCTGCCTCTCTCAGAACACACAGCAGACATGGACAACTGAATAGCTCTCCCTACCCTTCAAAATTAGTCTTCTAAGAGAGCTAATTGTCACTCAAATTCACACGCTTCTGAACTAAAACTCTGCCAGAAGGAACTTCTTTAAGAGGAGGGTGTGATTTTTGTCCAGAAGCATAAGGCTGTCACTTCTCTGTGAAGCAGAGAGAGTCTGGCAAAGCCATACGAGACCTGTTCCTACTTACAAGGTCATGATTCACTTTTATAGCGCTCAAATGGGTCAGGAAAATGAGACACTACACCCTAGCATTCCCACAAAGTTCAGGCACTATTTGCTAGAGAACTGCTTAAAATGTGCACTTCAGAAAGAAGATCACTTTTCACAGCTGTTTTCCTTCCTCTGGGAGGAAATATGTACAGCTGGGTCGATGTGACATGAAAAAAGCAGGTACAAGGTGCCCTGGAGACCAGACAAAGGACAGTCCTGTCACAGGAGAAAGGCACAAATGTACTATGGCTCCTATGGCTTTAAAGAGGGCTAGCCCCAAAACACTTTGTAGAGGTTGAAACTGAATAACAGAAAGTAATTTTTTTTAATAATATAAAACTCTCATCCATTCTATTGTCCATTGACTAATCTTTTCCCTTACTGAATCAATTCCAGACCTTCCACACAAAAACTGAAAGCTTATAAATGTGCATGTCAAAAGTAGCCTTGATTTCTCAAGTCAGTGAAATAAGGAACATCTGGCACAACCCACATGTCATGTGGATTTTTATTTCATGAAGCTCATGATTGTACATTTCCTTAGTTTAAAGTAACGGACAACATACAAGAAGTTTTTAATAAGTTCAAGTTAAGGATAGATCTTACTGTCAAAAGGAGGGCAGCAGTGCACTCTGTATACTGGGGTGTCAGAGACCTAGGGCCACATCTGCACAGCTGCCCTATCAATACTAGGTCTATTGCTGAGGAAGTTAGCTCATCTACTAACTTCTGCAGTGGGACACTGGAGACGGGCAATTAGGCAGTGCAAATGGCCATACTCAGGCTCTGTGAAGACATGGCTCAGGACACCAGCTAACATGATTTTTAGCTGGTCACTGGGGGAGATCGAGGTATGAGGTGTTACCTCCAAAAGAAAAACTAAATATTTCCCAAAGTTCTACTGGAGATTTAAAAAAAAAATCTGATTACAGAAATAAATTTCAATGATCACATCTACAATTGCTGGGTGCAGAAAGCAAGAACTGTTATACCGTGTTGTCCCCCACATAACATGAAGTGGCTCCAAGGTGAATGATGCCTGAAGCTTTGGGACAGCAGTGTGCAAAGGTGTGCACATGGGCCATCACATCATGACGCAGTTTCTTTTCCTCCTCTGCTGCCATCTTGAAGTCAATGTTGTCCAGGTTGGCTTCCATCTCTTGGATTTGCTCATCAGTGATAGGCAGCCCCAGTGACTACAGGAAAGAAACGTCTGACCTTAAGTGACCAAATCAGAGCAATACAAAAGAAATGTATTTAATTTGCACCATTTTAAATATTTTTACAGGAGTGGAAATTTGATGCACTTGTTAGTAAAAGGTCACATAAGGGGACTATAGTAGCAAATGATTTAATTCAGGGGTTCTCCAACTTTTTGTGGCTGGCCTACACATCTGGGAACTACTTGCTGGACACTGTCTTCCAAGTATGATCACATTATCCCTGTGACAACTAAAGCAGCTGCTTGCATGGAAAAAAGCTATCAAGAAGAAGTGTATTTTTAGCTTCTTTTAATGCAGTTTAATGGCTGGGAAGGAGGAGAACTACTACCAAGTGACCTGCTAGTTCCCCCATGCAAAATTAGAGCTCTGCACTACATTAGTTATCTATGGAATATATTTTAGGAGCCTTTACACTTTATCCAAGTTCCAAACCCTCTATTTACAACTTTACCTAAAATTTTCCTTTGCACACCTCACCTCCACCCAAAAACTGAAATGTTTTGGAATTTGGGACAAATCAGCTCAGTCCTCAGCTTAGGCAAATGAGACAACCAGCACAGACTTTCTGTTTTAAAAAAAGAAAACTATTGAGCTTTCATTCACCTAAATTACATAACAAGCAATTGGAGTAGATGACTTCACACTGAGCAGACCACTAGTCCTTCATAAGGAACAAACATTAGGGCTGTACT